AAAATCATAAAATTCTAATTAATTTATAAACTCTATAATCAAGTTACCTAAGTTGAAAAGATGATGCTATTTGAATATAAAAAGGAATATGTTATATTATATTTACATATAATAGTAATATCATATCTTGTCATTTGTATTTTTTTAAAAATTATGTTTCGTGAATTGTACCGTGTTGGTCGAGTGTTCAGAATATCTCAACCAGTGTTCGAGATGTGTCGACTAAGTGTTCGAAATGTGTCGACTCAGTGTTCAAGATAATAAAATTTATTTTTAAATAATAGACATAGTTATAAAGTGTCGAACACGTAGTATTGGTGTCCGAATGTCTGACACAGGACCTCATAGAAGTGTTCATGGGCATTTACATTTCAGTTGTTAATGTTAATGGTTAAAACTTGTTGGTTGACACTGATTTGTGCAAATTACAGTTTTTCTTATATGTACTAAAACATGACATGCATAACAATGTGAATCCTGACTATGGGAATGAAATTGGTAATTAACGAATCTGCACTATACACTACTGAAAATATTTAGATTTGCTACTGATATGGAGTATTGATAATATTTATATTTAGGGTTAATTCCACCTACACCCCTGACGTTTGCCAATATTCCACTTACACCCCCTCTACATTTCATAATTCCACCTACACCCCTGGTTAGTGATGGCCGTCCACTTTACTAACGGAAATATATGATTTTACTACATTGCCCATGAATTATATATTAATATTTATAATAAAATGTATTTGAAACTAAAAGGTCGAAACTACCTTTTAATCCTCGTCGTCCTGATGGTGTCTTCGTGTTCATCCTCTTTTTTTGACTCGAGCACTGGTTGGTGACACAAATGGCCTTCTTCTCCATCTACATCCGCAACTGCTCCGTCAACGGCATCGGCATGCTCGTCGGCAATTGGAGCTTCCATGCGCGATCGACATGCACAGTCCGACTGCCCTCCACGTCGTCGATCAACACCGAACACAACCCAATACCCAAACAAACCCAACCTCACAGCCCTTCATCCTTGCGAACGGCGAAGCGAACTGGAAAAGTGAACGATGGAAACTGAAAGATATGGTTTTGATTTTTTGAACAATCTAAAATGATCTGCCGCTATGGGTTTTGATATATGTAATGGGTTTTGAACTTTTGATTCTTGCCGACAGATAGATTAACTGAAATATATAGGTTTTGAACTTCTGATTCTTGTAGATTTTGTATGTTGCAGTTGCAGAGAGAGGGCAAGTTCAGAGTTAAGAACGAGAATAGAGATGGAGGCGATTGGGGAGGCTGAAATATATATATATAGAATTTTACGGCAAATCATTTCAGCCTCCCCAATCGCCTCCATCTCTATTCTCATTCTCAACTCTGAACTTGCCCTCTCTCTGCAACTGCAAACTACAAATCTACAAGAATCAGAATCAACATATATATATGTTGATTCTGATTCTTGTAGATTTTGTAGGTTGCAATTACAGAGAGAGAGGGCAAGCTTGCGAACGGCGAAATATAGACGTCAGATCGGTGGTGGTGGTGATGGTGCTGCCGCCGCTCCACTGCCACCTTTGATTATTCAATGGTAGTTTTGTAAATCTATGTTGGTCAATGAGGTTAAAGATGTTATTTAAAACATTAAAAGGGCAAAATTGACCTTGTATCAAATTTTTCTTAATGACATCACCACACGCCGTGAGTTACTTAACGGCAGGGGGCGATTTGTTACCCAAATCAAAACCTCAGGGGAGGTAGCTGGAATTATGAAATGTAGAGGGGGTGTAAGTGGGATATTGGCAAAGGTCAGGGGGTGTAGGTGGAATTAACCCTTATATTTATATGGTGAGCTATTCAACTCAATATATCATATTTTGTAAAATAAGGGGTGTGCAACGAAAAAATATAGATATGGATGTGTTAGGTATAATAATTTTTTATTTAAAAGTTTGCGATTAAATATTCGACCTCATATATATTAAGGCAAAGTGCAAAAAACCCCCCTTTAACTATTGGCCATGTGCAATTAACTAGGCCTGATCATGACTCAGATCGGTTCGGTTTGGGGATAAAGATCAAGCCGAACCGGTCCCCACGGATTGGCAAAAATTCAAACCGAACTGATTAGTGGAGGCCTTCAATCCGAACCAAACCGATCTGTAAAGTAACGGATCGAATCGGTTCGGATACTACGAATTGGGCTGATTGGGCTTTGTCAATCTTGCTCATTTTTAAATAAAAAAAATATGAATACAAAATCAATGATATTTACAAGGAAAAAGAAGAGTCCATGGTAGCAAAGAAACCCTAAATGAAAAAAAACACAAAGAATCAAAATTTCAGAAAATGCAAAACACCTCCTCAATCCGAGATAGAGTTTCATATGGGTTTATTTTCTAATGAAAAACTTTGACTTTACATCTTGGGAAGGGTTAGGACAATGGATTCCCTATCTTGACAAAGGAAAATAAACTGAAGGTCTACTAGCACTGGCCTGAATTGCACTCCAGCGACCTAAGAGATCGGCGGCGTTCACCGAACTGATACAAGAACCCTCCATGATGGCTTACACAGTGAAGGCCGAAGCCACACAGTTACAATTCAGCCACGGGATGGCCGTCGGCGGCGTCATCTTCCAGAATAAGAAGATTCATCACTGTGTTATGGTGATTAATAGAAAATATTGATGTTATTTACAAAAAAATGTTCAGAGAAGAGGAGAATAAGAAGATCCATGCAAAAAATTTGTGAACTCACTGGAAAAAAGGTAGATCCACTCGAAGAGATCGTCGTTACTTCGATACACAGAGGTCGTTGTTGCTTCAAATCTGGTGAACAATGGATTGAGAGGTGATGGATGGAGAGGCGAAGATTGGGAGGCGAAAAGTGAACAAAAACAGAGGTGAAGAGTGAAGGCTGTCACAGAGGCGAAGATAACTAGAGTCTAGAGAAGAGGGTGAAGAGAGAAGAGGGCGAAGAGAGGAGGCGAGGGAGGCGTGGCTGTAATGACTAATGAGATGTCAGATGAGAGTAATGAGTTATTTGGGAGCTAGGGTTAGAATAATGAATTAAAATAAAAAAGAAAAAATATATACGGTAATAAGTATACTGTATATTCAATATATATATATATATATATATATATATATATATATTAACGGTTCGGTTCAGATTAACTAATGGTTTAAATTGGCAACGGTTCGGCTCGGATCAGTTTTTTCAGGGGCCAATCCATTAACCGAACCGCGAATACTGGATTACAAATTTTCCAAACCATCACCGAACCATAAGATCTGAAAACCGAACCGAACCACACGGATCGGATTGGTTCGGACTGGATTGATGGATTGACGGATTATTTGCTCACCCCTACAATTAACCCCCCTGAATTACAAGTTGCCCCCTTAAACTATTGAATTTGGTGCAATTAAACCCTAATATGAGATCTCCGGCCAATTGGTGTAAACGGAAATAGTGAAAGACAATTTTACCCCTTATAAAAACTACGTCGTTTCAGTTAAAATTTCAGCAACAAAAAGCAACCTTATGACCATGGTGACATGGAGGATGTAATCTCAGCAATCACTTAAAAATTGACAACACAAACCAACCTTATCACAATAAGTGAGACGTGGAGGGCGTAATCTCATAACCCTTATCACATCTATCCACATCCTTCCATTTTTGCGGGAAAACCAAACAGCTGAAACTGTGAAGAACTGAAGAAAGCTTTGCTGGAAGTCCTCGTAGTTCTGGCAGCCGAATCAGAACCAATGTGACACGGGTAAACGAACTCAATTAAGAAAAATTAGTAGATTAAATATGCGACAAATTGGGTTCATTCGGCGATGGAGCCACTGGTTATTCCGGCAGCGGTGAAGCCGAAGATGAAGCCGAAGAGGTGGCAGTGGCTGTGGGTTTTGATCTACACTGCGAGACAACCACCACCACGACCACCAAATCCAAACCCCAAATTGAAAGCCAATAACGCACAACACGACCACCGGTCTTGATTTGCAGGTGGTTACCAAATCGTCATCAATAAATTGATCTGCTGCAGTGGTGGCGATGACATAATTTCAGGCGTGGCTAAGGCGAAGGGCAATTACGGCCGACTGATAATCGTTCATTCTCTCTCTCTACACTCATACCTATTGATTTCAAAACCGCCGCCACCACAAGCCATTGTCATTCCATCCCGCCAAGCCACGCCGCGCCACGATCTCACAATCGAGCCTCTTCTTCCATCGCCGGTCAAACCATCACGGCCGAACCCTCACCGGATGACCTCTTCACAGCCGACCCCTCCATCGCAGATAAGCTCTTCACAGCCGACCCCTTTTGCTCGATTTTGGATCTGTTTTTTTATTTTTATTATTATTTTTTTTTTATCATTTTTTGGATTGTATATTGTGTTTGGGCTTTACAATAGAATACAACAGATACTTAGGCCTTGTTTGGTTACGGCTCGAGCACTATTCCGGGACTAGGCAATAATAAAGGTATATGTGTCATTTGATTCACTTAACTTAAAGGGTTGTATGGTCATTTAAAGAAATTTGGGTAGTCGCGTGACCTATCATATGCGTCTTCAAGGTCAAATTCAACCGACTTATCACTGGACGGGGTTAATTGCACCAAATTGGTTAGTTCAGGGGGTCTATATACCAAATTAGTAGAACAGGGGGGTTTTCTGCTTCATGGCCAATAGTTGAAGGGGTTTTTTGCACTTTACCCTATATATTATTTTACTTCACTTCTGCCTTGTATATTTTCATTTTACTAGTAAAAAGATTCGACATAATAATAATAATAATAATAATAATAATAATAATTAAAAAAAAATTCATTTAGTCACATTATCAAGAGAATGTCAAAATTCATCAGAAACAAATAAATTAAAAGCAGTTAATTCATGCAACAACATTGTCACAAAGATATCCAAATTCATCCATAGTTATAACTTTATTTGCTTGTCCAAAACCAAACTAGCATTCCTAGATAAGCACACATTGTTTGGTAGCCTTAATCGCTCTGAAATTTTTCTCCCTATTAACAGCATTCCCATGTATATGCTTCAACAACAACTCAGTTTCATAAAAACATGAAGAAGACATTGATGCAAGCATCAATAGACCATACTTCCAGCACACTGCAAGGACAACAAAATACGAAACTTCCATAAAACGTGAGAAAACTTAATAAAGATCACAGACACTTATTGAGCATCTCTAAAACGGACTGACCCAATCCACTATTATTTGATGTATTCAATAACAGGGTCACAGTACATGCATCAGCAAAGAATCCTTTCTCAACCATTCCTTTAAGAAGTTGCATTGCCTTTAAAGTCTCATCCTTTCTAAGAAATCCCAGGACAACTATATTGTAAGTGGATCCATTTGAAAAGCAACCATTCTCTTCCATTTTCTTGAGCAACATGTTTGCTTCACTTAACAACCCTTCCTTACAGAGTCCATCGATCATAATATTATATGTGCGGACATTAGGTCGCAACCTTTTGGTAAAAAGACTACAAAAGAGTTCCCTTGCATCTTCAATGTTTCCAGCCTTGCACATATCATCAATGAGGATGCTGTAAACCACAATATTTAGTTGCAGTCCACTTTCCTCCATCTCTTGAAACAAGGCCATTACCTCAGCAAGACACTGGTTCTTAAATAGTCTATCTAACAAAGTAGTGTATGTCATAAGATTAGGATGTTGGCCACAGGCTCGCATCTCATTCAGTAGTTGTATTGCAACTATAGGTTTTCTCGCATGGCAAAAGCCACCTATAAGAGTGGTGTAAGTAACAGTATCAGGAACTAATCCCGTCTGAGAAATTTCATGAAAAAGTCTTACAGCCTCAGCCATTCTTCTTTTCTTACAATATCCATTAATCAATATGTTATAGCTCTGAACATTTGGGGCACAACCCCTACCAACCATCAAATCGAATATCTTCTTTGCCTCATGAAATTTGTTTTGCAAACAATATCCGTCCATGAGTGCATTATAAGTAACTAAATGAGGCTTCTCGCCTCTTTGAATCGTTGCTTTAACTATTTCTATTGCTTCTATAACCTTCCCTTCCTTATAAAGTTCATCCACCAACGTATTGAAGGTTATAACATTCGGTTTGATATTTCGGTTCACCATTTCATTCAACAACCTTGTAGCCTCTTTCCACTATTTTGAATTGCATAGGCCGTGGATTAAGGAGTTGTAAGTGACAATATCGGGTGAAATGCCTTTACGGATGATTTCTGAAAAGAAGTCAAAAGCCTCAGCTACCAGTCTGTTCTTACAAAGATTGTCAGTAATCATATTATAGTGGAAAACACCAGTTACCCAATAAGGATACCGGAAGTGACATGAGCCGGAAATAACCCATGAAAAGAGGATCGGGCTGAGAAACTGGATTTAACCCACACGATGACGTTGCAGAATGGGCCGAATGCATGGGATCTTCCGAGAAGAGCTAGGCCCATAAGGAATGAAGCCTGATGTCGAGGGACCCAACTTAGGAATTACTTATAGCATTCTAATAGCACTTGTAAATGCCTATAAATAGGCAGGAAGGAGAGAATGTAAGGAGGATTTTTTAATTGAAAATGTAATGAGACTCTGTCAAAATAGAAAGATTAATTCTTTGCATCTTCAATTGGCGCCGTCAATAGGAAATGATGAAGAACATTCATTCATGCTTGATCAATGTCATGTTAATTCAAACTGATCCGTGAAGATGAAGCAAAATTTCTAGAAATTAAATCTAGATCGGAGATATTGCAGTTTTTTCTGAAGGAATTCTTGATTACTGTTGGTTTTGACGTGTTTATGTTGGAATTACGCAACTGAGATTTGCTTGATCACAGCTAGATCCGGTGAGTTAGAAGCTAGAAAATTTCAGATCTAGCAAACTGTGATCGCGATTCGGTGAATTTGAGTCCAGATCTGACGAGATATGCATCAGTAAAGCTCAGATCTGATTAAGATCTTGTGATTCATGCCTTTACTTCGCTCCAAAATAATGATAGGAGGCGAGAGCTCCAATCCGGTGGAGAATGTCCAGTAGATGAAGCTTGATGAGTCGATGAACATGATCAAAGTTCTCAGGAAAGAGAATACAGAGTTGAAAGCTGGAATGCAGCGCCAAGAAACTCCGGCGATTCTGCAACCGCTTCCGGCGGGTGAAGAGGTTATGCATCCTGTTGTTGCGAGTCAAGGTGAAGAGGAAGAGAACAATCTGACAAATCCTCATCACGAGGAGGTTAGGCCAGATGATTTGCCGCCAAATCCTCATCATTTTGATAATCGAGAAGGCTCAATTCACTTAGATCCACAGCGTGAGCAGATCAAGCGGAACGAGGCAATGACTTTTAATCCGTATCAGGAGAGGTTCAACCAAGAAGAAGCTGTGGAGTTTGGACATCACAAAACTACACCGATCTGGCAGAAGGAATACATGGAGGAAAGATCATCCGATTCGCTTTATCAACCTTCAATGGCTACGTTAGACTACCGAAGCACAAAAAGGAGATCTACAGATCAGAGAGCTACCACAAGGTTCCATAGAGAGAATGAGGCCCTTCGTTCAGCAGCTCGGATGGTTGACTCGCCATTTACCAATGAAATTCTGAATGCTCCGAGTCCGAGGAAATTCTCCATGCCAGCTTTCATCCTGTTTGACGGAACGGCTAATCCGATCGATCATGTATATCATATCCAATTAAAGATGGCTCTGAACACAGAGAATGACTCCGTAATGTGCAAATGTTTTCCAACAAGCTTAGCTGGACCAGCACTCAATTGGTTCAAAAACTTACCGAGGGGCTCGATTGATAGTTTCCGAAGCCTTTGCGATCGGTTCATCAGCCAGTACTATGAGAATAAGCGCCCGGCAAAAGATGTCTACAGTCTGTTCATGATGAAGCAACATGAAGATGAACGCCTCCAAGCCTTTCTTACCAGATTCAATTTAACCAAGAGCATGGTGATTGAGTGCCATCCATCCACAACGGTTCAGGCATTCAAGCTGGCCATGATTCATGGCACTCCATTCCACACAAGTCTGGTGGTGAACACGCCATAGACCATAGACGAGCTGAATGAAAGAGCTGATGGATTTGTTCGTTTGGAAGAGGAAGAGGCAGCTAATGCAAGGAAAACGTCAATTATATCAATGGAGGAAAAGTCCAAAGCCAAGATCAGGCAAAAACCAACTCCATCGCAGTGGCAGATCCCTTGGAAAGTAGAAAAGAGGCCCAGGGAAGAGGAATTGGTCACTCCATTGAAAGTCACTCTAGCAAGGCTGTACCAAGAAAACAAAGATAAGTTCCGACCTCCTTTACCTATCAGACAACCCCTGGAATAGATAGATCAGTTTAAGCATTGCGCTTTCCATTTTGACTTTGGCCATCAGACTAACGAATGCAGGAACTTAAGGAGGCAGGTGGAGATGTTGATAGCCAGAAGGGAGTTCGCAAGTTATATTCAAGGCCCGGCGGTAGAGCAGAGCCGACCGGTGGAGCAAGTGAAGAGGAATCAGAAGCTGAACCCCCACAACTCGCAACCAGTTCGAATAATCAATGCAATTCATGGCTGGCTTGAACGTGAAGAGTCAGATGAACTGCTTCGAACATGGCTCCGACAGGCGCAGATGAAGAGGAGGATAGGCAGTGTAAACACTTTGTACCAACAGAGCGCATTAACATAGATAAAGCTTGACAGAACTGATCTGTTGCGTGTTCAGGTCCCTCATGAGGACCCGTTAGTCGTTAGTTTGACAGTGGCCGAATGCTTGGTATGAAGAGTTCTGATTGATCCTAGAAGTAGTGCGAATGTTATGCCGAGGAACACTTTCGATCGGCTCGATATAAAGCCCGATAGGCTCAAGCCCACTGGCAATCCCTTGCTCGGGTTCGATGGAAAGCGGGTGGAACCCATTGGAGTGGTGGAAATAACAACACATGCTGCAGAAAGGGTTCTGATGGAAAGCTTTATGGTTGTCGAGATCCATCCCTCTTACAACCTTCTGATGGGCAGAGGGTGGATCCACAGAGTTCAAGGTGTTCCTTCCACTCTGCATCAAGTAATGAGATACCTGGAGCCAGACAGAACTAAGGTGATTGACATTCATGGGGACCAAGTTGCAGCTAAGGAATGTTATTCAGTAACGCTGAAATATGCTGGAAAAGGAAAAGCACCCATCCGTTCGGCAAGCCCGAGATAGCAATTACAGGAACCTCCACCCAAGCAGAATGGGGAGGAGAAGCCAGTGGACTTGACCAAAGAGCCCCTAGTTGATGTACAGATCGATCAATTTCGACCAGAATGAACAACCAGAGTGGGGGTAAGACTTGCTGATGGGGAGAAACAGGAGTTAGTTGATTTCTTGTCTCAGAACGCCGATGTATTCGCATGGAGCCACTTAGACATGCCTGGAATCAATCCTTTTGTATCTTGTCATTCTCTTAACATCAATCCGAATGTCAAACCTATGAGGAAAAAGCAGAGAAGGTTCGCTCCAGAACGCAATCAGATCATAACCGAGGAGGTTGATAGATTGCTTGATGCGGGGTTCATTAGAGAAGTGAAATAACCAAAACGGCTCTCGAATGTTGTTGTTGTGCAGAAGAAGAATGGAAAATGGCGAGTGTGTATTGATTTCACCAATTTAAACTAAGCCTGCCCTAAGGACAGCTTCCCATTGCCGAAGATTGATTAAATAGTGGATGCTACTACTGGGTATGAGCATTTAACCTTCTTAGATGCTTATTCAGGTTATAATCAGATCCCCATGGACCCTGCTGATGAATAGAAAACTTCTTTCGTTACCGAGCGAGGGACCTATTGCTATAAAGTTATGCCGTTCGGACTGAAGAACGCCGGAGCAACTTATCAAAGGCTTATTAGCAAAATTTTCAAGGATTAAATAGGGAAGACTGTGGAAGCCTACATTGATGACATGGTAGTAAAAAGTAAGAAGAAAGTTGACCATCTGAAACATCTATAAAACGTATTTGATGTGTTGAGACAATATGGAATGAAGCTCAATCCAACCAAGTGCTCATTCGGCATGAGTTCTGGTCAGTTCCTAGGACACGTGGTTAATCATAGAGGCATAGAAGCTAGCCCTGCCCAAGCAAAAGCTCTGACTAAAAATGCCGAGCCGAAGACAATCAAAGAAGTGCAAGCACTTACAAGTCGGATAGCTGCATTGAGTCGGTACATTTCCAAATTGTCAGATCGCTGCAAACCATTTTTTGACACAATACGAAGCCATGGGAGATAAGTTTGGGGGGATGAACAGCGCCGAGCATTAACTGGTTTGAAAGAATATATGCAGAACCTTCCGGTCCTATCAGCTCCCGAACTAGGAAAAAAACTATTTTTATACCTCAGGGTATCCAGCATCACGACAAGTGGCGTTCTGATCCGTTGTAAAAAGAGAAAGCAATATCCAGTGTTCTATGTTAGCAAAATGACGACTAAGGCCGAATGACGCTATTCAAAGGCCGAGCGGGTGATACTCTCGCTAGTACATGCGAAAAGAAAGCTCAAGCATTATTTTGAATCCCATCCTATCATCGTTCTAACCACTTTCCCTATCAGAATAATCCTGCACAAGCCAGACCTCTCAAGGAGGATGACGAAGTGGGCCATAGAGTTAAGCTCATTTGACATAACATATGAACACAGAACGACAGTCAAAGGGAAAGCAGTGGCAGATTTCTTACTGCAATATGATTCAGAAAACATGGAGGAAGACCTTCAAGGTTGCTTGTGGAAACTCTTTGTCAATGAATCCTCAAATCAGATTGGGGCAAGCATTGGGGTCAAACTGCAGACACCAGAAGGCACGTCCCTAAGTTAAGCGCTCCGGCTTGAATTTAGAGCCACTAACAATGAAGCAGAATATGAGGCACTACTGGCTGGACTTAAGCTCGCCAAAGAGCTGAAGGTCAGGAATTTGACCGTCTTTAGTGACTCGCAGTTAATTGTCCGGCAGGTGAATGGCGAATATGAAACCAAGGATAAAACGATGGAAGCATATCATTCTGCTGTTATGTGAGAAGTCAGAAACTTTAAAAAAATTGAATTCATCCAAATACCGAGAGAGCATAACGAAGATGCCGATCGGCTAGCATGTAGCGCTTCGGGTTTTTGGAAAGACATTGGCAAGGGTGATTCAAGTAGGAATACTGAACCAGCCATCCATTTTTGAAGAACCTTCGAGCCCAGATCCTTGGCAAGTGAATGTTATTCCATATGAGCCAAGTTGGATTGATCCGATCATAACTTATATTCGGGACGGCACTCTGCCT